TGCTCGTGTTTTCTTCCCGTTTTGGTGGGAAGGGAAAAGCATGGTCAATCTACATGTAACCTCTGAGGTTTGTTGAATTCACATGAATTTCTTCGACCTCCGCCCTGCAAAGCCATGTATACCTAGACAAACTAACTTGGTTAAAAAAAGTTTTAGATTTAAATATAAATGTTAAGTCTCCCTTCTCTCTCCTTTTCAGTAGCCTAATTAACATCGTTTTGGAAGTCTGATCATTTTTATTTGACTCATACAATTTTAGATTTAGAAGGGGCCTTGTAGTTTCTAGCCTAAGCCCCTTATCTTTTTCATGAGAAATTGAGGATCATAGAGGTTAAGCTCTTGTCCAAGATCATACAGCTATGGAAAGCAATTGAAAACACTTTATTGAGGTTTTCACAATTGAAAAGTAGAGAGGCACACTTAATTGTTAAATACATCTGATTGGAAGAAACTCAAATTTTACTTGCAATTGAGGATATTTTTCATTTAGAGTCTATAAAAGTGCTCTAATATTGAAAATTTCCAATTATTTATTGAATAAGTGAAGCTTTTAAAAATACTGTGGGCATGTATTTGATATGCTAGGTTAAAGAGGCATTAAGTGTTTTGCTTCTTTGCTTTTAGTTATACCAGGAGAAATTAATTAACCAAAGTAACTCCCACTCACAATAAGTTGTGCTGGGAAATGACACATTTGTTTAGAATGGTCTTTTGTATTTGTACCACTTAAAAAAATATGACTACTATATTAAATCTCCATCCTAATATAGTGTCTGAATCATTTTTATTTGGCTTTAACATAATTTTAGGGGAGAGAGTGCTGATCAAATAATGATATTTTATAAAAAGCTAGTCTGTAAAAAGAATTTATTTCAGATATGCCATTGTTGGATATGGGGCCCAGCCTGGCAGGTGTTCTACTAGAAAGCTATCTAGAAATTAACACTAGAAAAAACACTACCTAGAAAATCTAGAATTAGTGATTTTGAAAAGGCACAATACCTACCGTGGAAAGGTGAGGGAAGTCAAGGAGGTGTTGTGCATGGCCATGTAATTGGACCAGTTCAGAAGAAACAGGTGGGACTTTTTAAAAAATAATACTGGAAAGTGAGAACGTACAAAATAAAACATGTTATTTAGTGAGCATATATGATCTTAGAACAGAGAGATTGAAAGGAAAAAGTGAGGAAAAGGAAGTTAATTGTGCACAAAATATACAGGTGGTATTTAGTGTGTCATAATAAAAAGTCAGGATGTGGAGTTACAATCTGGTTATTGTGTGTAAATGTCTTTATGCTAAGTCTCATAGAGCCTTTCTCTACTGGGATCCTTGATCGAATTAAGTAAGCCCTATTGTCCTAAGATGGTGGTCCTTAGGACCACTTTAGACTCTTAAACATTACTGAGGTTCTAAAAAAAAACAAAAAAGAAAAACCACACGCCTGCCTTAATAGAAGACAGGTTGATTTTCATATCTATTTTTGCGGTCAGTCTATTGTGATATGTTATTATACTTGAATTGTATGAAAGAAATCTGGCTTCACATAGATATGTAGTTGGAAAAAGGGGTATTTTAATAGCTTTTTCAGATAATTCTGCATATTCTTCTTTAATACTACACTGCAGGGGTACCTAGGTGACTCAGTGGGTTAAGCGTCCGACTCTTGATCTCAGCTCAGGTCTTGATCCCAGCCCTACAAGAGGATGAGTGTGAGCTCCACGCTGGGGTTTGGAGTTCAAGCCCCACACCCAGTGCAGAGCCACTTTAAAAAAAAAAAAGAGGGGCGCTTGGGTGGCTCAGTCGGTTAAGCGGCCGACTTCGGCTCAGGTCACGATCTCACACTCCGTGAGTTCGAGCCCCGCGTCGGGCTCTGTGCTGACCGCTCAGAGCCTGGAGCCTGTTTCAGATTCCGTGTCTCCCTCTCTCTGACCCTCCCCAGTTCATGCTCTGTCTCTCTCTGTCTCAAAAATAAATAAACGTTAAAAAAAATAAAAAAAAAAAAAAAGAGAGAGAGATACTGCACTACAACTTGATGGTTTTAATTCATAAATCAAGGGTTAATAGCAGTGTGAAATTTGAAATCTTAGAAATGAACTTTTGCACTCTATTGCATTAAAATTCATTGGTCTGTTCTGCACTTTGAATGGGTCTTTACTCATGCATGGATCCTTACCTGTGCATGATTTTGTAACATCATGAATTGATCATTTGGGAGATTTTGCTTCACTGAGTAAGGTATATTTTCTAAATGTGGACATGGTTCATTATATAATAGAAAAATCACGATAATAACATCCCTGATCTCAGAAAAATCTTTACATATTAGCAAGCTGTGAAGCTCATGGTAGTGGACCCAAGGTTTTCAAAAATTTTGATATTTGCTTGAAAACTCAAATTTTTTCATTGTTAATAAATACTGTCAATTATTTTCCAGGTTACAGGCTCACTTCAACATTATTGAGAAAATGTATGCCACATAGCTAACTACTAGTTATGTACCAGTTTTGGAGAATTGAGAAAATAGTCAAAACATTTTTTTGTGTTTTTGTGGTTCAGATAAAAAACCCTGATTGGTCTGGTATTTTAATGCTTTTTGGTGATGCATTTTAGATGACATAGATTATACATGCAATTAGGTAATAAACAGAAAACTTCATTTGCTTAACATTCTGTAGAAATTATGGGAAGGATTGAATAGTCCCGGAATTTATATTCACATCTGTAACACAGAAGCTATTGCTAATCTGCAGACTAAGAAGCAGGCTCCAGGCTCTGAGCTGTCAGCACAGAGCTCAGCACAGGGCTCGAACTCCCGGAACCATGAGATCATGACCTATGCCCAAGTTGGATGCTTAAATGACTGAGCCACTCAGGTGCCCCTGTTTCTCCTTTAAAACTGAGGTTGTGGGGGGGGGGGGTGCCTGAGTGGCGGAGTTGGTTAAGCACCCGGCTCTTGATTTCAGCTCAGGTCATGATACCACGGTTTGTGAGATTGAGCCCCATGTGGGGCTCCGCACTGATAACTTGGAGCCTGCTTAGGATTCCCTCTCTCTCTCTCTCTCTCTCTCTCTCTCTCTCTCTCTCTCTGTGTTTCTCTGTGCCCCCTTACCCCCTCCCTGCTTGTACTCTCATGTTGTCTCTTTCAAAATAAATAAATGAATGTGAGAAAAATTAAAAAATAAACAAATAAAACTGAGATTGGCATGTAACACACCTCTGACTATCCCAGATCTTTGTTTTATCATTATTTTTCAACACCCACATTTTCTTGAAAACTCATAGTCTCTCTCTCCAAACTGCCTTCTATATTTAGTTTAAAGATAATCTTTTCTAAACAAATTTAGTTACCTTAGGATTCCTCTTTATCCTTATCAGCCTTTGAAAACTCTGTGTCTGTTTTTGATTAGTGTAAAATTCTCTAGTTGTGTCTGAGCTTCTGATAGAAAATAGTGTTTAATTTTTCTTTTTTTTTTTTAAACTGAGGTATGTTTAATATATAACATTCTTATTTCTTTCAAAGAAAAGAAAATTCTTAGCTGCTAAGGTAGTCATATTTGTTGAGCTTCACTTTTTGGAATTTTTATTATCAAATCTTTGAAAAATTTTCTGAAATTAAAATTATTGTATTCAGTATGTTTTTTTCAAATACCTTTTCTTCTCTCAGTTACATTTTAGAATCAGTTCCTCATCCTATTGTTGTTCTTTGCAACTTCACCCTCCATGTTGGCTCTTTTGGCATCCTACCTTCATAATTCTTCAGTTCTTGATGTCCTTCATCTCTCCTACAAATCTTTTGGCCAGCCACCTAACACTTGAAACTCTCTGTCCTCTCAGAACTGTGTATTTTGCAATTTCCTTCCAACACTGATCACTGCTGAAGTTTGAGACTGTGAGATAGAACTGTTGCCTAGGTAGGAAAGCTGGCATTCTAGACAGGCAGTAAGAGAGTAACAAGATGGAGATGTCTCTTGATACTGGGCCCGAACCAGAGTGGCATCCTCTTCCCCCTGCTAATAAATGTAAATGATTATATTGAAATTGTATATCTCAAATTAGAGTTTAAAATGCTCTCCCACTTTCCAAAATAATAAAAAAAAAATGCCCTCCTAAATTGGAATATTAAAAATATTCTGGGTGAGGTGCACCTGGGTGGCTCAAGTTGGTTGGGTGTCTGATCGGTTCAGGTCATGATCTCATGGTTCATGAGTTCGAGCCCCACATTGGCCTCTCTGCTGTTAGCATGGAGCCCGATTCAGATCTCTGTCCCCTTGTCTCTCTGCACCTCCTCCACACATGTGCTCTCTCTGTCAAAAATAAACATTTTAAAAAAATATTCTGGCTTAATTTTCTGCAAAAGAAGTTAAATGGCATATAAATCATAGGGAACACCACTTATTAAGCATTTTATTTATTGTGCCACAAATACCCTATATTTGCACAATGAAAAGATTACCTGTCTAAAATAGAAGTACCTAGTTTTAGAAAAATCTTTTTGTTATGCACTGTTAAGCATTCACTTCTAGCAAGTTTAGTAGAAACTTGTCATTTTCTACATACAAAACCATATGAACTTTAGAATTTAATGGTTTCAGTAATCTGTTCATTAGAATAATATAACTTACAAGGCTGATATGGAAAACATAGGATCTAAATTTTCCCCCATTTTTATCTTTGTTTCTTATACACGCTTAAATAAATAGGACACATATTTCATTATTATTATTATTTTTTGCTCTAGCTTTTTCAGGAATGAATAAATAAGGATAAAATACCTCTTGCTGGGCTTAATGAGCATTGGGTTCTGGAGGGTGATTTATTTTTGTTATAAGTGAGGTTATTGTTGCTTGCTAATTTTTTTCTGAGATGAATACTTTTATTTCATTTTGATTTCTTGTGGATTAATATCGCTGAACATGGGAAAAACATTTATTTTAGATTTCCTTATGAGGATTTTTAAACATCTTAAATTTTGTCACAGAAATAAGAATCAGGCTCTACAATGACAACCTATTTGGAATTCATCCAACAAAATGAAGAACGAGATGGAGTCCGATTTAGCTGGAATGTTTGGCCATCAAGTCGACTAGAAGCTACAAGAATGGTTGTTCCGGTAGCAGCCTTATTTACACCACTGAAGGAGAGACCTGATTTACCACCTATTCAGTATGAACCTGTTCTGTGTAGCAGGACCACTTGCCGTGCAGTTTTGAATCCTTTATGGTAATTAAAATATATTGAAACAATTAATGTGACAATATGATTTATTTTTATTATTATTATTATTTTTTAAAGTTTGTTTTTGACAGAGAGAGAGAGACAGAGCATGAGTGGGGGAGGGGCAGAGAGAGGGAGGCACAGATTCTGAAGCAGGCTCCAGGCTCTGAGCTGTCAGCACAGAGCCTGATGTGGAGCTCGAACTCACGGACCGCGAGATCATGACCTGAGCGAAGTCGGGCGCTCAACTGACTGAGCCACCCAGGCGCCCCTGTGGCAATATGATTTAAAAATGTAGTTTCTTGTTCATTTATATAAAAATGTCTTTTTTATTTATAGTTATTTTTTCAAATTAGGATAGTCAAATCCAAAGAGCTGTGAAATTGAAGGATATTCTAGTTATAGTGAGTTGATTACAGACAAAATGTAAAATTGTCACTATATGAACTGTTAGATCCAATCACTAGTATATCTAGATGCTGTGTGTCATTAGACCCATCTCGTGTCATTAGAAAAGTCATAATTGATTGGTATGGTGTTTGAATTGAAAATGTTACAATTTCTTATAGCATAAACCAGAATATCTAGAATCTTCCTTTATTCCTGTTTCCATTCTGTCTCCCCACCCAATCCGTTAGCAACTCAGATTGATTCTGCCTCCAGAACATTACTGATTCTGTCTCCTGTATTCAGTTGCTGCTAGTACGCTCTACTTTAAGATACACCATCTTTTTACTGGACAATTTCATTACCCACCTAACTGGCCCCCTTGTTTCCATTCTTGTCTTTCAGTAGTTTATTCTCTATCCAGACGCTAGAATGTTACAAATGTATATCAGATTATTAAAATCCTTCAGTTTTGTCTTATTATACTTAGAATGAGAAATCCAAACTGCTAGTTAAGACTTACAAAACACTATGTGTTATATCATTCATTTCCCTTATTGTTATCTACCTTATACCTTACCCTCTTTCTGATCCTTGAACATACCAAATTTATGCCTATCTTGGAATTTGTATAATAGCTGTATATTCTGCTGGATTACTCTGCCCCTAGATTTTCCTGTGACCTGTTCCTTTTCATTTAGATCAAATTTCAATTGTTTATTTCAGAAGGTCGTCTTTTAAAGTAGCCATCCCAGGGGGCCGTGGTGTCTCAGTCTGTCAAGTGTCTGACTCTTGATTTCATCTCAGGTCATGATCTCATGGTTCCTAGGTTTGATCCCCACCCCACCCCATTGGGCTCTGCGCTGACAGTACCGAGCCTGCTTGGGATTCTCTCTCTCCCTCTCTCTCTGCCCCTCCCTTTTCTCTCTTTCAAAATAAATAAATAAACTTTAAAAAATAAATAATGTAGTCCTCCCAAACACACTTTCGCATCCTGCTTTGTTATCTTTAGTCTGTTATTGTTACTGTCTGAAAGTATCATTTGTATTTATACATCTACTTTCTTTTTGTATGTCTTTCTGTTCCAGAATAAGCTCCATGATAGCAGGGACCTTTGATCTCTTGTTTACTGCTGTATCACCAGCACCTAGGATAATGGCTGGTACATATTAAGCATTGAATAAATACATTTTTGAATTAAATGAATGTTTTCTAGATCTGAGTGTAGAAATCACTGAATCATTTGAAAAAAAAATTATTTTTACTGATGTTTGCTATATATTAAAAGTAATAATATGTTCATTTAACTGAACATTTGTATATACAGTTAAAAATATGAGTTCTTTTAGAAAGAAGTTAATTTTATTAAAATTAGGATCATTGTACGATGGAACTGAAACATGAGCTCTATTGTATCTTTTCTTAAAACAGTCAAGTGGATTACCGAGCAAAACTCTGGGCTTGCAACTTTTGTTATCAAAGGAATCAGGTAAGAAAACCCCCAATGCAGATGTTAATGCTGTAGTACTGGTCTTAATATGTAGAAAAATGCATATTTTAAACAAAGATGAAATAATTTTTCATATGATGAAAAATAGTTTTTAGTAGTTAAGTGATCAGAAAATTATTTGCAGTTTAAAATTTCATTCTGGCAAATAATTCATTCAAAATGTTCATTGTTTTCTCTCTGTAGTTTCCACCTACTTACGCTGGTATATCTGAATTGAATCAGCCTGCGGAGCTCTTACCTCAGTTTTCTAGCATTGAATATGTAGTTCTGGTAAGAACATAAATCCTTAAGAAAGTCTTAAATATTCAGCGATTTACTTTATACCAATAGAATTGTTAAATTGAGATGACTTAAAGGGCATTGTTCCTGATTCCCACATTGAATTGATGGAGCATTTCAGAGATAAGAACTGTCCTATTCAATTTGAACAAGGTAATTTCCCTGTTGTAGTTATTTAACGGGTGGCTAGGATATTGAGTGGTGTGGTGTGATTTGCTATACTGAGTAGATCAATAAACAGTACACTCTCAATGTTGCTGTGTGGTTGGAAGGTCAGTTCACAAAAGTTAAGTTACTATGATGCTAGGACCTGATGATATATCCCCAAGTCTAACTGTAAGTTACTTTTGCATTGGTCCTTGTTAAGAAAATCATTTTTCTTCCCTTTCTGAACAGCTTTACGTAGTTGTTTACGTATTTAAGTTGTAAAGTAACGATATCCTCTGTGATTCTAGTAGAGAAAGCAGAGTATGGTTCACATGTGCCAGGAAGTAGCAGCCTAGCTAGTTCCCAGTTCTCTTATGGTCTAATTCAGGTTGAGATCTTTATTGTTTTGTTTTTAAGCTTTATAACTACTGTTTCCTTATTTTAGGAGAAATAAATACTTGTTATAAGAAACGAAGCCTTATGCAGTTAAACAGATCAAAGATGAAAGTCTCCTTTATGTAATTATAAATAATGTTTTTAAACTTAATTTTTCCTTTGATATGTCTCATATATCTCTCCATGCATAGATAACTTCTCTCATTTCTGAAATGATTTTATTAAGATTTCATTTTATGAATGTATTGTAAATTATTTATCCTCTACTAATTATCCTTGTATATTGTGCTGACTGTTAATACATTATTTCCTAATTATTACAACATTTTTTAAAAGCGTGGTCCTCAGATGCCTTTGATATTCCTCTATGTGGTTGATACTTGCATGGAAGATGAAGATTTACAAGCCCTGAAAGAATCTATGCAGATGTCATTGAGTCTTTTACCACCTACAGCTTTGGTTGGACTTATTACTTTTGGGAGAATGGTACAGGTTCATGAACTTGGATGTGAGGGCATTTCAAAAAGCTACGTGTTCAGAGGAACAAAAGATTTGTCTGCCAAACAACTGCAGGTAAACAACAAGAATGGTAGTTTCAGCCTTATCTGTGGGCATCACTCCATAAATGTCTATAAATGCCTTCTGGATTTAAGTTTCTAGAAAATATTTTTACTGTGAATGACTAATATAATTGTATTATGACAAAGGCTTTATTTAATGTTGACATCAGTTTTCTTTCATTTGCCCTTGAATTGTTGTTATACAGATGGAAGACCCCTCACTTTTTCTTTTTTTAGTTTTTTTTTAAGTTTATTTATTTTTGAGAGAGACAGTTTGTGCACACATGTGAGTAGGGGAGGGGCAGAGAGAGAGGGAGACACAGAATCCAAAGCAGGCTCCAGGCTCTGAGCTGGCAGCACAAAGCCCATCATGGGGCTCGAACTCATGAGCGGTGAGATCGTGACCTGAGCCGAAG